GATTTCTGGAAATAATGTCATTTTTGACCAGAAGTTGTCTGCCTCGCTAAGCTTTATGTTGTTTTTTGCAGACATTTGAAATTTTATGCATATTACCATATTGCACCATAACTTGTAAACCGTATGGAAAACAAAAAAAGGGACATCACTTTCAGTGTTGGGCTTGACATGCTCTATCAAATGCAAAAATCAAGAGGTCTCTAGCATTAACAGTTCTAGAATTAGAGAGAGTTTTCAGTTTCAGCATGCAATGGCCATTTCTCCCGTGAAAATGCACTGATTGACCCCAAACTCACGGAGATAAAAGATGACCCTATGAGTATCACCTGCCAATAATACTATAGGTTAGGTCTGTGTAATTTTAGAAAATTGGCACAAATGATTTTTTTTTTTTTTTTTTTTTTTTTGCAAAAAAAATTCCCATATTTAGAAAATTTTGAGCTGTTTGACCATGAAATAGAAGTCAAATAGAAGTCAATCTCCACCTTTGACTATTGGTCAACCATCTATAGAAATTTTTCCCGTAATTCCTTCAGTTTGGTAGATATTTAGCATCTAATTTTGCCAATTTTGGACAATTGTGCATTTCATAGAGTGCTACACCTAGACCCAAGTACCAACAAAGCCCAAAATGCACATGGACTGAGATTATATGTGACCTACATACAAGAGATGGATACAGGGGCTCTTGGGGGAGAAGAGGTAATGGTGACATGGTGGCGGAGCCAGCGGACGATATGAGTCGGAACTAAAACCATATGTACCGGTCGGCTGCCAGCGACGGGTTGGTGGTACAATAGGCCCATAGCCAGCAATTTCAAAAGGGGGGTTCTTTTTCTGAAAAAGTGGACCCTTTTCCATATAACCTTCATGTACCTAGATCAAATTTTACCCAGAGTGGACCTTTTCCCAGCAAAAGGAGCAGTTCTTTTGAACCTCCTGAACCCCCCCTGGCTACGGGTCTGTACAATAAACATGATGGTAAGTAATAAAAAATTGAAATACTTACAAGGGGAAGGGGAAGACATTCAGTACCATTCAGTAGCATCAGTAGCATCATTATGGGCACTGGTGCAGAGGGGCATATATAATCCTTGGCAGCTTTCATTTTCATCTCTAAAATCAAGAGTGACAGTGATTCAACTTGACCATCCGCAAATTTACAAATTGTGATTTTACATAAGGCTGGTCTGAAAATGATAGAACTGTTGCCAACACGGCAGAAATTATATATGCATGGTCTCTATATGGACAATGCTGTTTGTTCAAATTGTGTTAAATGAGAAACTACTCACACTGCTCAATTTTGTAACATGCTTTGTACGGTTATTTATTACTTACTGGCATATATATATATATATATATATATATATATATATATATATATATATATATGCTGCTACAAAAGTTTTAAACTTTCTGCTTTTTTAAAATATGTTATGAATAATTGAAATCAAACACCTACAGATTTTAAAGTTATATCTATATATGTATTTGTAAGCTCTTCTCTCTAAGCTTGAATTTATTTTGGGCCTTACCATGCAGTATATCACCACAAGGGCAAAAGACAAATATTTATAGTACAGCATGTTCCTAACCTACAAATGCTATTTTATACCAACATCACTCAGTCTTATTTAGTCGTCATCCAAAATGAACCTGCATTCAGAACAGCAGACCAACTAGTCCGTGGATCAAAAATGGCAATCCACTAAAAAACTTCATTGTTGTCTTCTCCCCTAATAGACACTGAATAAATTCCCCGCAGGAATAATGAAACAAGCATCCAAGTGGGATGGACACGTTTGATCTGGGGACTGTTGTTAATGCGGCCTCAGAAGTAACTTTCATCTGTTATCATTCACATTTATGGACATTTCAGCAAACTTTGTTGTACCTTTTCTAACCCAACTTGTGAACAAATCACTGGAAACTGGAAAAGTCCCTCTGTGCTTTAAGAAGGCAGTGATAAGACCACTGATAAAGAAGGCAGACCTTAATTCTAATGTCCTAAAAAACTATCGACCAATCTCGAATCTGTCATTTCTTTCCAAACTCCTGGAACGTATTGTTGCAAGCCAATTAAATGACTATTTGAGCAGTTTTTCCTTATATGCAAATTGCCAGTCTGCATATAGACCAAACCACAGTACAGAAACAGCCCTTCTTAAGCTGCAGAATGACATTCTCCAAGCCCTGAATGATCAGAAACATGTGATATTGATTCTTCTTGATCTATCAGCAGCTTTCGATACTCTCGATCACGACATATTGCTCCAACGACTTGCACACCGTTTTGGGATAACTGGGACAGCTCTCTCCTGGTTTCGGTCTTATCTAACTGGACGCGAGCAACATGTATGCATAGGCTCTTCTATTTCAAAATTAAGCAAATTACTTTATGGTGTGCCACAAGGCTCCGTGCTTGGTCCTATACTGTTCACACTCTACACCTCACCAATTGAGGATATAGTTGCTCAGTTTGGTTTCAATTTGATGTTGTATGCAGATGATTCCCAGATATATGTTATATGTGAAAATCCTTGTGATGAAAAAGCAACTATTGAGGCTTGTGTGAATGAACTTAGATCTTGGCTCAAGTCCAACTACTTAGTTATTAATGATGAAAAAACTGAATTAGTCCATTTCAACTCTAAGTTTTCTAAAAACAATACTGCACTTGATAGTATTAGAGTTGGGGATTCTTTTATAAAACCAACAACAGAAGTAAGGAACTTGGGTGTTATTTTTAATAACAAATGTGAAATGACATCACACATTAACAAAGTATGTAAAACAGCATATTTTAGTCTCCAACGGATATCCAAGATCTTTCACCTTATTAACACCAAGCAAACTGAATTACTCATCCATGCATTTGTAACCTCTAGACTGGATTATTGCCATAGCCTATTGTTTGGAATACCTAACTATCAAATGGAAAAGCTACAATCAATTCAGAACTCTGCTGCTCGTCTCCTCTGTAAAGCTCAGAAGTCTGACCACATCACACCAATTCTGCGAAACCTCCACTGGCTACCCGTGTCTCAACGAATAGTTTTTAAAATATTACTTTTGACTTTTAAGATTTTAAAGGGCGACTGTCCATTTTACTTGAACTCTACCATAGAACTTTTAACTCCTATCAGGTCACTTCGATCTAGTGGACAACTTCAACTTAAGCGAAAAGACACTAAAAAGACTCATACATACCACGGGGCTGATATCAAAACAAAAGGATTGCAGGGACCGATACAATGAATGAGACAGAGTGACTGCCATGTGCGGAAGATGGGCAGGAAATCGGCCAACTACTCAGAAAACCACTAACGCAAACGAAGATGATTGGACGGTGACCGCAATTAGGCAGTAAACGCGGGGAAAGTCCATTCTTTGATATCACCCCATGCGCGGTGATATCAGCGTGTTCTATTCAAAGTTAGGGGTTTTGGGTGGGGAATACGCACGATTTCCCTTTGTATGTATGACAAATAATGCACTCTTACCCCCTCGCCCGATATCCACGATAGCATGCCTCGCTGGCGCTAGGCCTGCTATCGTGATATCGGGCTCGTGGACAGTGCATTATTTACTACTTAAGACATATGGACACAGAAGTTTCGAGATTTGTGCACCGATTTTATGGACTAATTTTATCACAAGATCTAATGTGTCTCTGGATGACTCGTATTACTGTTTTTAGAAGAATTTAAAAACTTTTTTATTTAAAGAATACTTTAATTTATAGCATCTTTTTAGTTTTTAAAATTTTTAAGTATCCTGTTTTTTAGTCTATACTCGCTTTAATTTATCTGTGGAGTTTATATTTTTATGTAAACAGCGCTGAGACGCATGTGTAGCGCGGTTTTAAAGAAGTGTTTTATTATTATTATTATTATTTGTTAGCCATTGTATTGACAGATTTATTGAATAATTCCTATTAATACCAGGTATCTTATCAGACCTGAAAAGTGTCGAAATAATATATATTCTTACTGCTTACACAACATATTCTTAACACAGGTTTCTGATAAATTTTAGATTCACCTGGGTCTTTTTCCTTATGATAATCATTTCACATTAGTACAAATTAAGTGGTTTTTTTCATTAGGTGTTTCATTAGGTGTTAAAATTGCATGGAAAAGCTTCACAAACTATAAGGGAATCTCAAATGTTACCTAAATTTCCATTGCTTTATCAATCTAATTGTATATATTTAGATCGATTTTGGGATATATATGTGATGCAGCTAGCTATAACATACTGCCAGAATACCCCCAAAACATACTGTATGTTGAGCCAGTATTTTGGGAGTACCCCATTTTATCATGCAAATGAGTGTTGCCAGAGTATCCACACGACATGTTGCCAGAGGTTTAATGGAGTACCCTGGCAACACTTATTTGCATGATAAAATGGGGTGCTGCCCGAATACTTCCACAATACAAACGTTGTCGGAAGCTTATTTTGTCAGGAAGGGCAGTTTTCAAATGTTAGTTACTATAAAAGCTGCAGGCGGTCCTTTAAAAAATAGAAATGGATAGAGATGGACCGATAAAGACCTCTAGGAAGGGATAGCAAATCTTAGAGAGGTTTGCTATGCGTACCTAGAGGTCTACATTAATTGGCCCATTTCGTCCCATTTCGATCCATTTCTAGGTTTTAAAGGACCCACTGCAGGAAGGACTTAAAATTTAGTTCACAATTACCCTGAAATCATGATTAATAAACATTATCTGCATACCCAAAAGATTGATTATCTGCAATCTTACCTGATTTTAAAAAAATGTAATAAATCTCATGCAAAAATATCTGAAGTTCTACATGTGGTGTAATCACGCCGAGCGTGGGTGTAATACATGTATTGTCACTTTCAGTTTTGCCAGTCATTACACCTATATGCGTCTGCGCAAACGCATGCGTGATGTAGGCCCTAAAGTTGGAAATTCCAAATCTATTTTTAGAGTCACGCATGCGCACTTAGCTGGTCGTGAAGAGCACCATCAAACATGCAAAAATTTTTAAAGACAGCCATCTATTTATATATCTCCCTGCATGGATTTACTAGTACGACCGGTAAGTGCTAAGGGACATTTATTTATTTATTTATTTATTTATATATATAGTTCATTTCTGTTTCGAAATTTAAAGGTGAAATTTCCAACGTTAGAGGACAATAGTCATATTAAAATCCATTTCTCGAATTTTGAAGATTCAGCACTCAATCTATACACTAGAGGTATTTTTTAATCGATCCCCGCCATTAAAAATTTATAAAAACAATCTATTAGTAGAAAAAAAGCGTTTTAGTAAACCTCACCTCATAAATGAAGCAACAGATCTGGGTCACGTGGTACTGTGACGACAATGAGGATAAAGGTCTATGAGACAACTGAGCTGCATGGTGCATACAGACATAGAAGTTTAGGAAAGTTGTGTTGAACGGAGTTCAGCAATTTTCGTAATGCTTTAGTGTGTTGCCGTGGGATTCACCAAAATTGAAGCACTCGTTGACAATCTTTTCTTTGTCTGTGACGGTCTTCCGTGACTTACTAACTAACTTCGGTGACATAGTTGCGATGCTCGAGATCATGGTCACCTCAGGTGGTTTAGATCATATCAAAAGCTGATAGTCTCTCAGATTAACTGCCATCAGTTGGCAAACTTACTGATTGCTGATACATTGTAGTTGACCAAGAGCTCGTTTACAATAAAACCTGTTAATTATGCACCGCTGCACTTCACAACCCAGGTAATAACAGGTATCAAAATCGTCTGATGAGCCGTAGGGCTCAAATTTTTAATAAATTGAAAAATCAAAATCGTCTTGGTGGGCTTTCATATTTTTCAATATATCTCATTTATTTCATTTGATTGGTATTTGTAAATGACATTTTAAAATGTCAATATTTAAACAATTGAGTTCAAACACCGGCGCGAACATTAATAAAAGTAATTGCTCTCTGGGTATCTTGAAGCATGCGTATGCCCAGCCATTACTTCCGTGGAAGAAAACGTGTTGAGGAAAAACAGGAAAAAGAGCGGTATATTAAAGAAAAAAATGGTAACTTCTGTAATAAAATGGTTTGTAATCCTAATTCGTTTATGCTTTGAGGATTTGTTTCTGAAGGTTATTTCATCTGAAATATTAAAAAATTTAAAAGATTTATTATTCTATAACTTGAAAAGCAAGTTCTGCGTCTGTACGCAAAACTTTTTGTAGATTTGTAAGCTTTATCAAACTCAAAACCATGTAGCAGATCAAGGTAAAAGAGCATTGTTTGCTATTAGTAGCATGGAAAATCATTACTTGAATGTTTACTAAATGTGCAGTTTTACGTACGTTAGTATAAAGTATTTATAGGTACCTATGCAACATCCAGATTAATAGGGAGACTAAAACTAGGAAAAGCTATAAGAAAGCCAACTTTGAGGCAATGAGATCAGAAGTAAAGGGTATAGACTGGAATTCAATATTGGAACCAGGGTCCATCGATGAAACACGGTCATTATTCTGTCAAAAAATCTATGAGCTGGAAGAAAAACATGTGCCACTTGTGAGGATTGGTGGAGCAAAAAATAAACAGATACCCTACTTAAAATTAAAGAGAAGAATGCCTTATCTAGGAAATTCATTGCCACTAAAGACCCAGAAGTAAGGAAGAAGTACAATAGAGTGAGGAACTAAGTCACTAAGCTTACTAGGAAAGCCAGGAAATCCTTTGAGCAAAATCTCGCAGTAGAAGCTAAATCAAATCCGAAGAGAATATGGCAATTAAGACATAAATTCCAAAAGTAAAACTAGACAAGGTATTGGGGAACTATGTATAGATCCAAAGGACCCGAAATCAGACAAAACTAATGACAATGAAGTAAAAGCTAATATATTAGCAGACTTCTTTAGCAGCGTGTTTACCGAGGAACCTATGGAAGAAATACCATCCTTAGAAAAAAGGGAAATTGTCACCGAGTGGTTAGGCATAAATATCTCACAGGAGGATATCACTAAACATTTAAAAAGTCTCAGACCAGGTAAATCACCAGGAATCGATAACATACAACCTCGACTTCTAAGGGAATTGTCAGAAGAACTTTCTTATCCACTGTGGATTATCTTCAATAAAAGTTTAAAGGAAAGAACAGTACCATACGAATGGAAGAAAGCGAAGATAAGTGCTATCTTTAAAAAAGGCAATAAATCACTTGCTGGGAACTATAGACCAGTCAGTCTTACATCTGTGGTTTGCAAGTTGATGGAGAAATTTGTAAGGGATAGCATCATTGACCACATGGCAAGAAATAAATTGTTTTCAACTAAGCAGTATGGATTCATGGCGGGACGTTCTACGGCTCTACAGTTTTAAATAAGAGTATTGGATGAATGGACCGAGGCAATTGACAATGGAGCCGGGATAGATTGTATTTATATGGATTACCAAAAGGCTTTTGATACAGTGCCTCACCAGAGACTGCTGAAGAAGCTGGAGGCATACGGCATAGGAGAGGAAACACTAGAATGGACAAGGCACTATTTGAGTGGGAGAATTCAACACGTATCAGTAAACGGAGCTTCGTCTTCATGGAGAGATGTGCTGTCTGGAATCCCTCAGGGATTGGCGATTGGCCCACTATTGGTTTTTCA